GGCATGCCGTTTCGTGTGCATCAATTCGGTACGCCAGTTCCCTCTTTGCGGAGTTCACAGCCGCGCGAGGATCTCCTCTTCGCCTCCCTCTGCCCTTCCCCCTCCCCGCCTCGTCCCTCGCCAGCCGCTCGAGGATCAGGCGTGTTCGGGCAACGAGAAGCAGGGCGATCCTTTCCAGGAAGGATCTGCTATCCGCTGGAATCGGTAAACGCTTCATTTTCCCCGCTCTCTTTTCACCGCCCGTTCGTTACTCTTCTTTATCTCACGTGTGCACGCGCTGCTCCTCCGGGTCAGCTTCCGTTTCTTCGTGAACCACCCGAACAATGGAGGGAGAGAAGAAATTTTTTGTTCGGTAAATAACAATGTAATTTATTATTGTTTAGTATTGCTTTTCTTCAATTTATATTTTTATTTATGAGATTATAGAAGATAGGGTTTATAGAACATTATCCTTGATTTTTATTTCAATCGTTTGAGAAGCAACTATCGTTCGTCAATTTTGTGGAGGAATGTTGTAGGAATTGGAAGGAAGATTCGATGGTAAAATTAAGAGATACGTTTTTCTTGGCAATTTAAAGTTTCGAAAATTTCAACAGTGATTGCTAGTATATCTCAAAGTATTTTGTTCTTCGTCCCATCTTAATAAAAAAGCTTTGTGAAAAGAATCTTATCATAGAAGTTTTAATCAAACGAAATAGTAATATTTGCATTTTTGTTTTTATATCAGTTTTAAAAGCTTTCTTGTGGCAGACATACTTGGAATGTATTTTGTGTTCGGAGAAGGAAAGTATTGAAAATTATTGTGGAATGTAGATTTATTTAAATATAAAAAATACAGTTAGTAGTTTTCAAAAAACAATCAATTATGGATGATGAAGAAAATATGGGAGAAAGGGAATAGAATTTGACGAAGAAAAATATAGGAGCAGGTTTTTAGAGGAAAGGAAAGGTACAGAAAGGGAGAGAGGTTATGTCAGCGAGCTATTAAGCAAGAACGTGTTTAGTCATAGGAAGGTTTAATTGGTGAAAGGGTTACTAGAGTTGCCAGAGGTTAGCGCAGCTGATTTCAACCATTCCTTCCAATCATTCTGTTTAAACGAAATGATCCGCAATAACATATAAATTACAATAATTTCCTCGTATCTTCAACAACTCGTTCCCCATCCTCATAATCATTAAATCAACTTTCTGAGTTATAAAAGTGCCATTAAACCGTGAAAAATCCTCCAAACCTACTTAATAATAATAATAACAACTAATAATTATAATTATTAATCATTCGTGTAAT